CTCTCTCTCAGGGATATGCCGAAAAATAAATTCAACAAAGTTCTCATTTTTATTTCTTACGTGGCTGCAATTTTGATTTTTCTGGCTTTTAAACAGTTTATGTTTATGTTTTCATTTTTAAACTCATAATTTTCCGATATTTATTTTTTCGAATATCCTTCTGGAGAGCCAGGGCCGAATTTTTGGAAAAAAATGAAATTTGATAGCGCAGTTTCAACTACATATAGACCAACTCGACTTTTAATGCGGATTTCAAACATATGGTTTTTTCAAATATGAATTCGACCAGTTTGAGTGAAAATGAATGAAAAATGAGAAAAAAAATCAAATTTCTGGCGTCCAACAGGGCTGTGCCTTTGAGTTGACTATCTTCCCCACAAATTAAAATCAATGTAATAGCATAGTTTTGTAGAGCTTCAAAAGAGCTATCGACTAGTACCTTATTCAAGTAGGTTCTGTGTTTCTTTAGTACCTTAACACAGGATTTTCTTATGAATGCTCATAAAATGTTACCTAGTCATGTACAAGGCCATCTCAAGAAAACGATGAAAGAAAAATATTTTATCACACTATTTGTTACGGGCTACCTCACAATATCATATTTTGTTATTCTCTATTGTTATTTTCTTTTTCTTTTTCTCTCTTCTTTTCCACTATTCATATATATATATTGTTTCCCTGGATAGTCATGGTGATATATATGTATATATAAGGGCATGATATAGGTTATATGAATGCACTTATTTTTCCCTTTGAAATAAAGATTCAACATCAAGGACATTCTATATACATATCTATTCTCTTTTTGGAAATGACCCCTAATATTGGTGCCGTGACCGACTGTTTTATTATTTATTAATAATAAAACACGAACCAACACATAAATCTTTCATATACCATCGGAATTTAAAAAAAAAAAAAAATAAATATATATACATATCGGTAAGTGATTACATTTTTTTTATTTATTTAATATAGAGGTAGCTCCATTGGAAGCTGCCTGGAAAACCTCGATTGAATTAAAGAGATAGTTCCATTGGGAATTGTCTGAGAGAAAAAAAGAAGAGAACCACTCGATCATTATTATACATACAACGTTATCAATTAAATTCCACATTATATTATCATAATTTTATTATTGTTATTAAAATAACGGCTTATAATCTTCGAAGTGCTGGTAACGATCCAGAATTTACTGGTGATTTATTAACAAAAACATCTGAACGTACAGTAAAAAGATTAACTCTGGACTCATTAAATAATACTACCGAACAAATTCAAACAATGTCTCACACTGCACAAGATTCAGCGATGATGATATGTTATCGTGAATGTTTATCAAATCTGGACAAATTCAATGGTGGTGAAGATCAAAAAGTTTCACAATATATTAATAATATTGAAAGGATTGGAAGAATGATTAATGCAAATGATGATATTTTACATTGTATGTGTACAGCAAAATTAGATGGGGAAGTGAAACGCTGGTATGAAGACAATATGACATTAACCAAATGGGAAAATTTAAAACCAGCATTATTAGAAAGATTTACAACATCGGATTCAACATCGAAAATATTTGAACAATTGAAAGAACGAAAACAAAAATCAGATGAAACAATTACATCGTATTATGATGCTGTCATCAAATTATGTCGTGAGTATGATTCATCCATGTCACAAAAAATGATGATATCGTGGTTACAAAATGGAATTAAAGATTCATTGAAGACTCAAATTAAACGACAAATGAAATTGTTACCTGAATCAGCACGAACAATTCAAGCATTCTTAAAAATTGCTAAAGATGAACAAGAATTACAAGAAGAAGATTCTTCTGAACTCCAAGCAACACAATCTTATTTACCATACATTACGAATACCGTATCAACAACAGCACAACAAACACGAAGCAACTCCGAAAGGATACCAACATTAACATACTCACCATCACGACACACAACATATAAACAATATGCTCCATCATCCAACCCTTTAGATTCATTAAAGTCACAACAAAAAAATTACAGTTCAACTTCCCGACCATCACCTATTTTACATAAACGGGAATCACATTATTCATCAATTAATAATTCATCACGACGTCAAGACGTAAATGTTAAACCTTATTCACCTACACAACATGATTCTCAACGACGACCGTGTGGTGTATGCCAACGCATTAATCATCGAACAATTGATTGTTATTACAAGAAATTATATGGATGTTTTAAATGTGGACAGTCCGATCATCATATACGTGATTGTCCACAGGTTTTCTACTAGCTGGAACCCGTGATGGTGGTCACTCCAGTAGTAAAGAAAATCCATCAACAACAAATTATACATCATCAACTCCTATTCATATAAAAGTTCAAGTAAATAATAAACAACATCAAGCTATTGTCGATACTGGATCTGCAGTCACCATTATTAATCAACAATTATTAAAAACAATTTATCATAAGGAATTTACTTACAAGAAGAAATTACACAAATCAGCCAATTGTTCATCGATTAATATTATTGGTGAAATTCAACTTGAAATTAAAATACAAGGACATAAAACATTAATTTTAGCAGATGTTGCAACTAATCTTATTACTGATTTATTACTTGGAAATGATTGGATTACAGCAAACAATGTTATTATCGATTCACCACAACAATGCATTTATCTCACTGACAACAAACGAAACATTCTAGCAACAGCAACATTCGTTAAACCGGCACACCTTCAATTACCAGTACTATTAACCGATGAAATTACTCTTCCACCGCACTCCGAAAAATGCGTTAACATCAAAGTATTATCACCAACAATGAACATAACCGAAGCTTTATTTGAACCAGCAGCATATTTATATTCGAAACAAATGTTACTTACGAATGCATTAATTAAGTTAGAAGACAACAGAAGTCAAGTTATGATTTTGAATGCAAATGATCGTCAAAAGACTTTATCGAAGAATACATCATTAGGATATATTACATATCAATCCAAAGCCAATAACTATCTTATTTTACCAGTATTAACAAAAAATAAAACTGATCGATCAACACCTATAACATCGAATTTTTACAGAAGGAACAACTCTTTTGTGAGTCGTTCCTGGATTCCTTCAATGAATAATAAGAGGAAAGTTCAATCTACGAACTTTACCTGTCAAATGAACAACAATACCGATCCTGAACATCAATGTTATGTATGTCAAGAACAATTTTTATCACGGAATGATTTACAACAGCATTTATGTCGGAAATGCTATCCACCAGAAATGCGAGAACAAATTGGAAAACTAACTCAACACATCGAAAACGACAAACAACAACAACAATTACAGCAACTTTTATGGAAACATGGTAAATTATTTGATATTCGTCAACCGTCCATCATCAAAGCTACAGTACATCACGCTATTGAAACTGGCACTCATCCACCAACTTATACTCCACCATATCGTGTTTCTTACAAGGATGAACAAATACAGAGAGAAGAAATTGATAAATTACTCAAACAAGGAATAATCGAAGAATCTACATCACCATGGTCATCACCTATAGTATTGGTGAGGAAAAAAGATGGTTCTGTTCGATTCTGTATTGATTTTAGGAAATTAAACAATATTACAACCAAAGATGCATTTCCTATGCCTCGAATCGATGATATCTTTGATCATTTATCACATGCTGAATATTATACAACCATTGACTTTAAATCTGGTTATTTTCAAGTGGGACTTGACCCGCAAGATCGTCCAAAAACGGCTTTCTCAACTCGAGATCAACATTATCAATTTACAGTATTACCTCAAGGTGTTACAAATGGCCCACCAGCATTTCAACGCATCGTCAGTCAAATACTTGGACCTACAAGATGGCAACATTCATTAGCTTATCTTGATGATGTTATAATATATTCACCAACATTTGATCAACACCTTATTCATCTCGATGATGTTCTTAATCGATTAAACAATGCAAATTTCCGCCTCAATGTAAATAAATGTCAAATAGCAAAAACAGCAATTGATTTTCTTGGTCATCACATCGAACATAGTAATGTTAGACCAAATGCAGACAACATTCGTGCATTAATAGAAACTCAACAGCCAACAACAGCGAAAGAAGCTTTTCGATTTGTTAAAGCTGCTGAATATTATCGTAAATTTATACCAGGATTTTCTACTATTGCACAACCTTTATATAAATACGCACCTACTACAAAAGAACAACGATCACAAAAATCACAATCTACTCTCATTAATTTATCAGATGATGAAATACATGCATTTGATGAATTAAAACGAATATTAACGCATGACTTAGTATTACGTATTCCAGATCAAAATTTATCATTCAAGATACAAACCGATGCATCAAAGATTGGAATTGGAGCTGTTCTTATGCAGACTCATCCAAATGGAGATTTACCAATTGCATATTTATCGAAGAAACTTACAACAACACAAATGAACTGGCCTGCAACAGAACAAGAATGCTATGCTATTATATTTGCAATTGAAAAATGGCACAAATATTTAGATGGACGTTCATTTATAATTGAAACGGATCATAAACCATTATTACCATTTAATACGAAAAAACAATTAAATTCGAAATGTGAACGATGGCGTTTGAAATTACAACAATATCAATTTACTATACGATATATTAAAGGAAAACATAATACAGTAGCAGATTATTTATCTCGTTCACCTGTAGACAATGCAACAAATGATGAAGACGATTATACTCCAACGACATCCAGAGCAACACAAACTGATAATCATATGCAGACACAAATTATTGCACCTATTATGACTCGTAGACAAGCAAGACAACAGCTTAATGAGAGGACTGATCATCACGTACCAGATCAGACCTGTAATGGAAATCGACAAGAGAGGAATGTCGACATATCAATCGACCATTCCTGTATTCCAAAAGCCGAGCAACTACCAACATCTATCCACAACACCGACTCTGATAGAATAATACCATTTACATTGGAACAAATAAAAGAATTACAACATCAAGATGATGAAATTAACAACATCATTCACAACATCAAGAACTACAAAGAATATTTTGTTAAAAATAATCTGTTAATGAAGAAAAGATTCTCACCAGTCCCCGTTATACCTAAGGGACGAATCCGTTTAGACATAATTAAAATTTATCATGATACACCTGCAAATGGTGCACACTTTGGTCGGAATAAAACCATCCAAAAAATTCAACAGCGTTACTTTTGGCCAAATATGGTTTCTGATATTCGTAATTACGTCCAATCATGTCTACCTTGTTTAAAAAACAATCCACTACGACAGAAACCACCAGGTGCTTTAAAACCGATAAAACCTCCAGAAGGAGTATGGCAATTACTTACAATGGACTTCCATGGACCGATTACACCAACAACAAAAAATGGGAAAAAATATATTATTTTATTAACTGATGTATTATCCAAATTTGTAATTACAAAAGCAGTACGTGATTGTACTGCATTAACTGCAGCACGATTTCTAACTGAAGATGTTATTCTTAAATATGGAACTCCAAAATGTATTCTTACGGACAATGGTACACATTTTACTGCTGACATGATGACTGAATTGTTCAAGAAGATAGGAATTACACACTTATATTCAACACCCTATCATCCGATGACCAATGGACAAATCGAAAGATTCAATGCAACGATGGATTCGAAAATAGCAACATTATCAAATGAAAAACGTACTAACTGGGATGAACAATTACAATTCGTTACATTCAACTATAATACCAGCATCCATGCAACAACTGGACAAATTCCATTTGAATTAATGCATGGACGTTCACCGATTCTACCCTTTGATCAACAACAACCATTAGTTACACTCTCCCAAGATCCAGATCATAAATCGAAATTAAATCATCATTTATCAACTTTAACGGAACAAGCGAGAACGAATATACTGAAACGACAAGAGAAATATAAAGAACGATATGATCAACATCGCACAAATCCACATTACAAAGTCGGTGATCTTGTCTTAATTAAGATATTATCTATGCGTAATAAATTCGACGCACGATATGAAGGACCATTCAGGATAACACGACAACTTAGCACGAAAACATTTATCGTTCAACATGTGAAGACACCAACATTAGTGAAACAA